TCCGTAGCCGAGGTTTCCCGGAGCGTCAACTTTGCAGCTTCAATCACGCGAGGAATCAAGCAAAATATCCTACAGAATTCCATTTTGTGAGCATTAGTCGATCGCTGAGGAAGTGTTTCCAGACACGCATCAGCCGACCTCATTGGTTCTCACCGGAAGCTCCGAATTAATCTGAGCAAGAACCCACCCAGGTGCAGTTATCAGAGGCGACCGTCGGAACGCGGGATCTCGAGGAGGAGTAAAATTGAATGGGAGTTCTCCCTGATATTCCGCATCCGTGATCCGTGACCGTCGTTCTGCTTGGGATTTTCTCAAGATCTTTGCGACGTAATCCGAGAGCATTCTACTCAGCCAAACTCCCATCGATCGAGGATACGTTCGTAGATAAGCCTGAATCAGAGCGGTGGTGGTCAGACAGGAGCGCGTTAACTTGATTGCTGTCCTAGTTTTTCCGGTCCTGAGCGCGAGAGCGGCGGATATTTCATTCGCCAATATGGCACTTATGTGTTGTTTTCTTCATGCTCTGAACACGATCAGTTTATCGCACCCTATATCTCTCAGGACATGTGTCAAGCACGAATTCAACAGCTGGCAGAGGGTTTGCGAATCAGCGAGCGGAGCGGCCGCGTGTGAGGACGAGTGAGAATTACTCTATCGTCCGATCACTTACTCACTTGTTGGCTCGCTCGTTCGCTTGATGCGTGTTAGAACGAGCGTGTCAGCCCGGAATCTAGATGATTCCTCCCTGACCGCGTATTCGACAAGCCCTTTTCAACTCGCTATCGACGAATCTGAACACGGCCCGACCTTCCCCACGTGATGTGATTGACTCCTTGAACAAGAGGTTGCCGCGATTTCTCTTCACCTTCTGCCCTTGGGTACTCGGAGGGACACTGGAGTCCCGGATTTCTGGGCCGCGATATGAGCTATGGCAAGTTCCCGAGGAATTACCCGAAAGTTCTCGTTGTAGAATTGAAACGTCCCGATGAACACTTGCTCGACGAAATTGAAGGTAGAAAGCGATCACCTCCCGAAGTTCCTTCGACGTTAAGTCAGATCAAGCAGACGTAAACGACGATCTCTTATCTACTTCTCGAAGAATCACGCTCGGCAGCTAAATGTGCTTCGCAGGTATAACTGTATCAATGAACGAAAGAACGAGCCCGCGAGCGAAAGGACGGAGAAACGATTGAAACAACGAATAAATGAATGAGTCGGAACATCAATCCATTCTAAGAAGAACTTATGACTCCAGTAAGTCGCTGCCGAATACCATTAATTTTGCCAGACAGTCAAGCAGAGCACATACGGACCGTAAGGGCTCCACGGTCAACTTCAGTCGGCAGAACCGCGGAGAGCTGCGCGCGTACAGCAATTCTCTTCCGATAAGCCTTAATGAGTGAGGTTTTTCTTCTTCCTTTTCGAACTCACTTCAAGTATCTCCTGCCTCCTTCTGTCACACAGACCGAAAAAAGGTTGACAAACAGAAAGCGTCCGACCGTCAAACCCGCAGAGAGCGAACCACGACAGAGACTGATGTAGGTAGTCTGAAGCATGGCGGAGACACGTCTTAATTGGTGACAATGCCACCCAAAAGAAACTTTGGCGGACTGAGCCGATCCGAGCCCTGGCCATGGACCGATCCGATGATGAATATGTGCTCCGCGATTCCGATTGACTCTCAGCGGAGTGCGAGTACAGGTCGTGACTTTCAATAATCGATTTGAAAAATCTCGGGAGAAATAATTCCGTGAGAAACTCTCCTGAGATCGATCGCCGCTATTGGTGAGGGCAAGCAACTTTGTACCATCGCGTCTTGAGTGTCGTGCCGCTATCGACCACTTGGTGAATTCTACACTTGATCGTCTTATCGGGGAGCTTCCCGCCCCGAGTGCAGTGTCCGTCAGCTGAAGTTTCGTTCATTCGATCAGAGCGACGAAAAGTCTGACAACCCGAAAGACGGGCGTCCCGTCGTCGCCGACCATGACATCCACCTTCGCCACCACCGCCGCTGCCACCACCACCACAACGACGACGGCGGCGGTGACGACGACGACGTAGAGAATTCGTAGCTTCTTTCTCGATAACATTCCCGAAGGATGAGCGCCCGAGGACAGCTAGCCGACGAGTCTGCGAGCTGCCCGCGATCTTGTGCAGCAGTCAGTCAAGGAAGGATGGAGGAAAAAATCAGCCGGTACTTCAGGTATGCCAGCCCGGAGATACGCCGTGCTAAGGTCGAATCGTCGAAGAAAATCATCATGAAAATTAGGCCCAGCGCATGGAGAGGATTTCACGATCAGGTACCCATGAGCTCGGGGAGGGAGCTGCTGGGGGCATATTTTTCGCCGAGTTCCGGAATGGTCAGGCAATCGTTCCCCGTCCCTCGCGGGTGGAGACTCTCCCCCTGGGAACGTTCCGAGCCTAGGACGGCGATCCGCCCGCTGATGGGGGCTTCGACATCTTGCCGTTGTAGCTCGTATCGTCGTTGGTGCTTTTGCCACCGACAATGGCCGCTCCGTTCGTCCACTTGTTCACAAGCAGAGCACGGTTGTAGTCGTTGCAGAAGTCGCCGCGCTATCGTCGGCGGTGGGCTGATTCTTAATCATTATCATCATCATCGCGGTCTGTCAGTGCATGTGAGGCTTCTGCTGATGCTGGCAGTTCCAGTCAAAAGACAACAAGTCTCGAGACGCTTCAGCGACGACCAGCATTATGTCAATGAATGAAGGGCGATATCTCTGCGAAGAGGGAACAACGACGACAACAACACCGACAACTCGGATGACAGCGTCTGCGGCGAATGTCGAAGACGTCGTCGACATCAACGACAACTAAAACAATCCGATTCCACTTTCGCAACTCATCATCACCATCATCATTCAAATAGTGACACGTTGACTGGCTCACTGAGTGAGTGAGCTGTGTGGCGGACAGATGCAGTCAACTTACTCACCGTCGGTCGAGGAGGAAAGCCGAAAGCAAAAAGTTCGCAACTCAACGCAGCTCAAGGGGCAGCCGAATAGCGATACGCAAAGGGCCCATTTCCCGATCGGCTCAGAGGACAGAAGGGGGTCCGACACCGCTGATTTTCTTGGAACAGAGAGGCTGGATCCTCCGACTCATCCGCCATCATTCTCCATGATTACAAGGACCCTTACTGTGGCCTTTACAGTGAGTCGATATTGGATCATAGATGATCAAAGACTGGACGGAGGGACAGGAGCTGAATGAAGGCAACGACGTTTGAAGTGCGCCGGAGGTGTAAAACAACATGTCGCTCGGTCGTTTTGGATAACACGAGTCTGCTACGGGTTAGCGGGCGGACGCGCGCGGAAACGCTCGAGTCATTGAAACAAGCTGGAATGCTGTTTCATTCACGTCTGCTTGTCGTCCCAAGAAACAATCATCAAACATTGTTCAACTCTCACAATCAGTTGAATGGGTGAATTATTTTCTCGGCTCCATAGAGCCCGCTGGAAATGATTTACTACGAACTTCATGAATAAAACCACCACTACAGAGTTTCCGACGGACTCTCTGTCGCCGTGAGCAATCCCAAAACTATTCGAAATCATGTCGGAGCGGAGCCCGTTCCCGATCATTCAGAAATCGAGTTGTCGGCGAGATCGCCGGATACGATCTGCTTGCTCTCCGATCATCTCCTAGAGCCTCGGGTGACGATGGCTTTTCGAAAAATTCTTCGGGCATTCCTCCGATTTTCGGCGCTTTCGTCCTAAGCGGCGATTTCCTAGATATTCCTGCGTTTCGACTCGATGGTCCTGGCGCTCATTCATCACGGCATTTCCACTCGAGATTCGAATAATTATAAACTCCCTCCCTTCGTGACTCGTGAGTTATTGACGATTCCCGGTGCCGGTCACGGGCTTGGGCAGGTCGAAGCTCAACGGTGTCGCTTCACCTCCGAATACCTCGAAATATAGATCGAACCATCTTCGGAAATGGCATCTATGATATTCAGATAGTGGGGGCCTCGGCTTCGGCTCGTGAGCTATGGCCGACTGAAGAACTTGTGCGAACGAAGAAAACTGATCCGGTTTCTTCGCCTGTGCTCACATTTTGGGTTCCATTCGAGATTTCGATTGAGATACCCTAAAAGATGGGTGGGTACGAGAGGAACGAGAGACAACTCCTCCAAGCTCCTGTGAATTAGGAGTTGGAGATTCGAGGGGGATTTTTTCTCTCCGATTTCAGAGAAGGCTCGAAATTGAAGGAATCATATCGTATCTGGCCCATGTCAGCGTAAGATCGAGATGGAATACGCGGAATCGAGACCGGAATGTTGTTTTCCGCTGGTGTATTCTTCTTCTCGCAAAGAAATATCACGATCATACCCGTCGGGAATATGTTCATCCATCAACTCGGAATCGTAAACATCAATCTGTTCGGAAGTAAGGCGAATGCGAGCGAGTGATCCGAATGACATTGAAGATTTCCTGAGCATCGGCGCGCAATATGAATCAGGGAGCACAGCGGGGTTTCGCGATACCAGGCGATTATCGAGGGGACATCTCCGAAACAGCAAAAGAGCTTTCGGCTCGAGGCATAGTGAAGATCAAATATTCCTCTCGCATCCCGAACACTGCGCGGACTTCCAGAATTCCAGACGCTTCTGAGGTCAGACATAGGATCCACGCCCCGAACCTTCATGTATCCCGTCGGGGGAACTATTCACTGAAAGATTGATTTCGATTTGTGAGAGTATCGCATCGTCTCGCCGGCTCATCAAAAAAATCACCACCTATTCGCGTTCTTTTGATGAGACCCTTCGCGGGTCTCCTCCTGATGGCTGACGGAGGGGCACGCTCGATGCGCGGATCATTCCGGCAGAGTATCGAACTCGGAATTCCTCAACCCCCCCCGATTCAGAGACCGATTCCGAGACGCATTCCGAAAATAAGGGAATTCGCATAAGCCTACGTATTTTTCGATGGGTCGGCCTAGGGGCGTTGCCCGTTGATGATTATCTAATTTTCTCTTACCTGAAGTAGTCGTTCTTGCAATAGATGCGGCCCGATCGCAGAAAACACGACGCATGTTGCTCGAGCGTCGTTTTGCAGTGAGCACACTGGAGACACCCTACGTGCCAATACATTTCACCAACGCAGAGGAAGTATCTGTCGCAGATGGGGTTACCGCAGCCGGTGCAGAGTCTCGGTATTCCTGGCGATGTCGAACCGCCAGATACCTCGCTCCCGGGGTGTATCTCCATGATAGGCATCGTGAAGGCGTCGCGGATGACGTCCTTTTTCGTATCGACGTCAGGATTCGATGTTTTCGGACCGGGATTCTCCGAGAGGGACCGACGGATGTGCACTCCGACAGGAAAATTTCGTACCCCTCAGTGCAGAGTCCAGCTCTCTTGTCGTCCGGAGTCCGGGACTCGCGCGGAGATTGCACTTTGTCACGGCGCAGGGATATTTTTCGATGGTCCACTTCCCATGATGACCGACGACCGACCAGAGACCGTCAGAGAAGCTCCTACAGTATCCTTGCTCGCTGACAGCCTCCGACCTCAAATCTCTGAAGATGATTTTGCTGCTCTGGTTGAAATCTCCGTCCAACGCACTGCAGAGGCCGAGTTACGGTGATGTGATATTTTTTTTCGTAGCAAAGCACAAACATTCACTAACGCTCACGACGCCAAATCAGCTGCGAAGCGTTCCGCGCACAAGCCCTCGTTGGCCACTAAATGCTAACATCGGCAGCGCTGGAGAAAGCGACCGCATCGGACTACACACACTTGTTCTTCTGACATGTCTGCTGATTCTTTGCTCATGTTGCTGCTGCGAACGATGGTGGTGGTGGATGGATGTCTCTCTCTCTCCGGATAACGGGAGAGAGAGGCGAATGCGGCACCAGCGATGCTGATGATGAGCTTGGCCCCGCCCTCGAGCGGCCGCCTCGGATCCCATTGGTCGTCTTTGAAGCAGCCGCCCCCCCGGCGAAGATCGCCCCGAGGATTGGTGGAAGCTCGAAGAGAACGATCTCTGTTGCAAACGATGGTGGCAGCCACCGAGATCCACCGCTTTTGCTCGGGAGAAATCCTCTTCGACAACGTTGTTGACGACGACGACAACAACATCTGTGTCTTATCGCTGGTTCCCTTGCTCGTTCGCTTGCTCGAACAAACGAAGGGACGGACGGACGAACATGAAGACGGCGGCCGGCGGTGGCAGACGGGCCGCCGCTCGGGAAAGAACACTGCCCGCTCGGCAGGCAACGTTATTGCATTGTTTTCCACGCTTGATCTTCTGATGTCTCCTCCTGTTGCCGTCACCAGAGCTAGGCCGATGGTCAAAGCCCGACGGTCAGTCCCTCCTGCCCTCCCTCTGTTCGTCGACGCCGTTTTTCCGCCCGGTTTTCGATGCGTACCGGGCACCACTGTTCGCTCTGGCTTGTTGTGTGATTCGTAACAATCAAAGTAGAAAGCTTTGAAAGAAGCAGATAAGGAACGAGAATAAGATTATATGTGACGAAAGACGGCTCTGAACCGGACGGCTACGAATGGTTTTCACAGGGGAAAGAACTCACTCAGCTGTAGCATCTCAGAATAATTCAGTTCCGTGACGGAGAGAACGCGAACCACTGCAGCGAGATCTTTTTTTCCTTGAAGCGGAGACGCATCGATTATGGTATTTGCTGCTGCTGTTCGACTCTGCTCATTCCCCTCTGTACTTCTGAAGATTCTCCGTTGAGTATTGGACGAGAGCATCCAGAGAGATAATCGGCCGCGGGTACCTGCAAGATTATTCTAGGTACCTAGAGACGGACGCGGAAGATTCCGCGTGAATGTCACGGACCCGCGAGAATACCGAAACCGACCGTCCCGGGGGAGAACATCAGCATTAGTAGGGTGGAAAACACTTCAGGGCTTCCGGAGAAAGAAATGACGCGAAAGAAGCCCCGCCGCCTCGAGTGTGTCAGGTGTCAGCTGATCACGAGAGTAAGTTGTGGATCAATGGGACCCCGGCGAGGATGTAGTGCCATCGAAGAGCTTTCAATTCGGCCCTCTAGGAGGCATCTGAGCTCGACTCCCTCTAGAGCCATAGTATTGCTCTGGACCCAGCCCGTCGGGAAGGATCTGTGCTCGTTTGGAGGATGAGCGCTCACCTCTTGGTGTGTGTGTTTGCCTACATGCATGTAGGTACCATGAACCCATTCCGGAGATGACCGGGGAAAACCCAGAGAGAATCTCCAGCGCCCTCCCCTGAACCCGAGATGGGGAATCGAAGTTCTCCTTTTTCATTGCAGAGTCTGCGCAATCAGCAGCGTATAGACCAATCGATGCTCTCCGAGGCTCATCGATCTCGATCGAATTTATTCGAATAAAAAAGACGCTATTTCATCGGTCTCATGGAGACAATCGGAATTTCTCTGCGAAAAACGCGTCGCTCGGCTACGGAAGAAGGTGACTATGTCCGGGAACGACCCAGAACAGGGCAGCATCCGCGATCACTACCCCAGGCGTTGATCCGGAATTCGAGTCGGGGTTTGTTCGACCAGAAAAAGAGACTCAGGACTCAGGAGCGACACACAAATTCCTCGACCGAAGAGAACCGACCCGAGGAATTTCAATGAGTTCTCTGTCCGCAGCGTACCCATTGCATCACCTCGCTGTGCTTTCAGCTTTTGAATATTCATCAACGCAAAAGAGGGCGATCCACCGAAAGGACGAGATAGGCAGAATTGTTGAAAGTTTGAGATAAAAAGTATAAGCATCGCACAACGCTGACGCTGACCATCAAGATAGAATCCTCAATTGAAACCTTCGTTGTCGGAGTGAAGTCCGGGAAGGACGGAGGAATCGGCTCTCTGCCTCTACGGGATTCCATCTCTTCGGCGCATTGTCGGAAGCCGGGCTTTCCCGCCATCTTAGCACCGAAGAGGGGATCTTCAGACAGGTAGTTCCCGAGAATACCCGAGGGAGAAGACAACTCAATGGTCTGCAGATGTCTGGGCTCAGCTCAAATAGGGAATGGGGAATAGGGGTGAGGGGTTACCGACGGAGTCGAGGGTGCGTGGTCAGAGAGATCTTGACCTAGGTACCCGAATTCCGATCTCCGGGCCCCGGTCAAGTCGATGGAGTGTTTGCCCCAGACCAATTCATATTGTTCTCGAGAGTTTCAGGAGGGGATTACGACGACAATTATATCTCCAGATACGATGAGCGACCGCCCGTGGAGAATGGTAGAGCATGGGAAAATTCTTTCTTTTTCTGCGATTTTTCTCTAATAGCGACGCTCATGTCAGCTTAAATGTCATATCTGATCGCTTCGCTACTACTGAACGATGACCAGGTACGCGACCAGCTGATATCACGATCGTGCACCAAAGGTTTCCGTAGGCAAGGTTGCTGGGGCCGCGGAGGATATCTTCAGTGAACGAAGTCATGTCGGGGCAAGAGAAAACAGTGGTCGTCGATATTCTCGAGAAGATACGGGAGGATTGCTCGTAACACTATCCTGGCAGGAGGAGCGGGAACTTTCGGAGAAAACAGCGGCAAAAGATGCCGACGTATGTTTGGAGCATAATTCCCTTGGAAGTTCTAGGAGGCTCGAACACTTTTCCTGGCTGCTTCCCGTTGTGTAGTTAGATGGTAAGCTGAAAGGTGGTGCTCGGGTGGGTGAGTTCGGAGGCGAGCATGTCAAGGGATCATCCTCGGTGATGATCCGGCCCAATTGAATTCGCTGCCAGCTAGTCAGGCGGCGAAGACTAGAAGCAGGAGCGCCGCCAGCAAATCCTCAACACGTTCCTGTTTCCTGCTCTCAAGTTCTTGTGCCCGGTACTTCTCCTCAGTCGCTCCTCCGCGGTAGCGCTCTGTTCTCCCCCTGTCCCCCTCTTATCCCTGTCCCACCGTTTCGTATGCCTGCGGATCCTTGTTCTCGGTTCCCTTACACTCTGCTGACCCCCAGCTCGGGGTAGGCGCGTACTCCTAACAAGCGAATTGAAGAAGAGCTTAAGCTCTGGCTTGCATGTGAGGCTGAACCGTCAGATCTCCGTGCACTTAACTCCGTTAAAGCCAGACACGCGACTTTGTAGTAAGGACTGCCGACTGCCGACCATGTATACGAGAGATGAAATGCAATAGCTCCTTGAGCGTCTCCCTCCCACCATGGTGTTGTCGTCTCGCGCTCTGAATGTTGAATTTAGCGAATAATCGAGAGAATTAGTCGATCGTCATCTGAGCGATGAATTGTCCTCCGCTGTTTATTTCTGAAAAATTGAACTGGAGATTCGAGCGAACAGATGAAACGTCGTCGACGCGACCAAATCTTCAAAATATCCTCATTCGGCGAAGTCTTTTAGGGTGCTCCCGATCGATCCCGGGTTCCGTGAAGATTCGACGAACGGGCAATGTGGTCGACGGCATCAGCGATTCTTGGACGTTTCACCTGCGTTGTACCGCTCTGGCCCGCGATGGTTTCAGGCGCGAGCTCGAAATGTGCACCCCAGCTCTTGAGTCGAACAGCATCGAATGAATGAGTCGACCGCGGAAAACACTTCGCAAGCTCGAGCCAAGCACCGGAATTCTCTCCGGGCAGTCGGTACGCGAACAACAGGCCCGTTGATTAACTCATAAGATATTTCGCTGTGAGTCGGGTGAAAGAAACACTCATCTTTGCTATGCGCGAGTAAAACGATGTCCAGGGATCGGGGATTCCCGTGATCTATTAGGCGGCGATGCAGCATCGAGGCACCGACAGCGGAAGTGCCCCAAGAGTCAATCCGGCGCTTGTCTCGGCGTAACCGGAGGACTCGTATACCTCATCGTCTCCAGTTTCACTACAACCGACGGAGAGAGGAATCGAGCAAACCGAGTCCAGATAATTATTCCAAGTTTAATAGCTACCCCAAGCTTTGCTAAGGGGTAATACGACCTATTGTGGGGAGGCTGTCACGGGGTTTATTTAGGGCCATTTGAAACATGTCCCATGTGAAACCTGAACATCAGTAAGGGTCCCCCGTCGGATGCACGTCCAAGCGATAGGGCCACATCAGGAGTTTCCACTTTGCCCCGACTGCGCCATGCACTACATGACGAACGTCGGTTCATTCCGTAGAAATCAAACCTGCGGTTTCACAGACAGTGGCGCTGCTTCGGACGTCATCTCGTCGAGAACTGATGAAAGCGGAAGCTCCCTCGCAAAGACTCAATGGATTACGCTCCGTCTCTCGCCATCCGCCCGCCAGAAGCTCACCGTTTCGCTTTGATGCCGG